TGGATTCCTCTATACCTTTAAGGCAATGGCGTTTGACTGCTAAGCGAAAGATATAACTGTGGAAGTTCTCTATTCCATTTCTTCAGTGCCACAACTGAGAGGCATGTGTAAGGTAGTTCCCCTGCAAATCCTAGGGGCAACATCTTGGCAGGTTATCCAAAAGTGGAGACAGGAGCTACTTTTTGCAGCCTAGTCCTTGTTAGATTCCCTTAACACAAGGAACTGCTTGTATGTAATACTAGTCCATCGCTACAGGTGGTTTTTTGTAGATGCTGCCACAAAACCAGCCCCTCTTGTAAGCCGCATTATTACCGTGATGCGTCGTAGCTGTGTGTGAATGAATCCAGTGACTTTGTTGAATTACTTTGCTATTATTTTCAAAGGTGTTGGCGCATCTGCAACGAAGGTGGCATCGTACTTCAAGGAGACAGGGACTGCTGTTGTCTACCATATTGGGCAGACAGTGGAGGTAAACAGCGACCTTCTGTGCGGTGAGTGCGTGCCATGCGACGGATGAAACCAAGCAAAGCTACCTTGTCTGTGGCAACTTGTAATTCACCTTCTGGAGATTGAGACGTACTTAAACGTGATTTTACTTCTCCCTGCTGATGTAATAAATGCCATCAGCAATATATTTGTCATATTTATTCATTATTGTCTTTGCAATTGGTTGTAGTGCATTCCATCTTGTTCAAAGATGTTGAGCATGCAAATTCTCACGTGTATATATTCCGGTCCCTATTATTCACCTGGATCTGTACTAACGATGGGCTCTGTAGTTCCCTCGAATCGCGATTTTCAAGCTTTGGAACTGGTAAGAACTTGTAGAGTCGAACCAAGTGTTCCTTGAGTGTGCGCCAGCCGCCTTTACTCTGCTCTGCGCTGCCCTCACCTTGAAGCTCTAATATTAAGTGAGGACATTTAAGAAATTTAGTGACTCTGTTTCAGGCTTGTCCGCCATGCGAACCGAATTCTACTGTGACAAGTTTTACACCGCAGTGTTCCATAATCAGACCTGGATGAATGGATCTGAGAGTACGGTTGGCCTTGTACTTGACCGGCAGTAAATATCTGTCAGATAGTGTAAAGATAAGAATGGAAGGGCAAACATGCAGTTATAATTCATTCGTTGAAGTCCTATTGCAATATTTGTGCACAAAAGGTTCGCTTAGACATCACCAAGACCTTTTGCATTATGGGTTAAAATAACGGGCAGTTAATGCTCATAAGGAGCCAAATGTGGCATAAAATGTGGGTTCTTAGATTGCCCTAAGAAAGCGAAGCACAACTAAAGAAACTAAAAGCCAATGTGTTTTCAAGAATTGATAAAAATTCCCAGTTGAACGGAAAGGAATTATTGCCACTGTCAAACTAGCAAATTATTTGTTAGAACGTACCTATAAATGCTTTACATAGTTTGCAAGGTTTAAAACTTTAATTAATAAAAGATTAAAAAATATTTTACCAGGAAAATTACTGAAGGTAAGAAACTCCATGCCCTAATATTCTAATAAATTAATTGAATTTTCACATAAATGGCAAACTGACAAAGTTGTTATCATTGCATTT